AAGCAAAAAAGAAAAGCAAAGAAAAGAAAAGCTGGAGACGATTAAGCACAAGTTGTGGTTTCACTTACCAGCCATTTCACTTAATAACCAAGTTACTAGTCCCAATTGTGTTGCTAAATGAGGACTAACTCTAGTTTGTTTTCTATATGCACTGGAAGTTTTGTTATTTGTAAAGTCAGCATAGCAATAGCACTTTATATATCACTTCATAGTGCTTTTACACTAAGTGGTTTACAGAGTCATCCTCTTGTCCCCAACAATATGAGTCCTTATTTTACCCACCTCGGAAGGATGGAAGGCTGAGTCAATACTTTAGGCAGAATGCGATCTGGAACAGGCTATATAATTTTGGGCAGCAAGTACAGGATACATTTGGATGCCAAGGTGGCGCATTGGTTAGAGTGCAGTACTGCAGGCTACTTCAGCAGACTGCCAACTGCAGTTCAGCAGTTCAAATCTCACCAGCTCAAGATTGACTCAGCCTTCCATCCTTCCGAGGTGGGTAAAATAAGGACTCATATTGTTGGGGACAAGAGGATGACTCTGTAAACCACTTAGTGTAAAAGCACTATGAAGTGATATATAAGTCTAAGTGCTATTGCTATGCTGACTTTACAAATAACAAAACTTCCAGTGCATATAGAAAACAAACTAGAGTTAATCCTCATTTAGCAACACAATTGGGACTAGTAACTTGGTTATTAAGTGAAATGGCTGGTAAGTGAAACCACAACTTGTGCTTAATCGTCTCCAGCTTTTCTTTTCTTTGCTTTTCTTTTTTGCTTAACAGACCTGGAGAGGTCATAATGCAAAGACAGTTACTTTATCACTGTCGTAAATGCAAATGGTTACTAAAAGAGTCAAGTCATTAAACAAGGACTATATGTAGAGGTTTCTCACCATTATGTATGCCTGCAGCTGTAGGTACATGTACAGGCACAAAGATCACTCCTGTGGGAAACAGTTTTAAATATAGCAACTCTGTTTACTTGTCTCATGTAGGCCAAAGAATCTTTAATGACACTGCTAGCTTTGCCATTTACATTTTGTTAGGTGCAAGCTGAAAACAGTGCCAAGTGGGACGGACGTTTTCTGCAGAAATCACAACAATTGAGGGGCAGTCTGCCTTGAAATAGGACCCCTGAACAAGAACAGCTGTGTAAAGATTGTAACTTGTGAGTTTTCTACCAAGGTCTTCCTGGCTATGGCTATGTAAGAGAAGAGTCACTGGTATTAATGGACTTTCAATCTGATTTACAACAAGGAATTTTTAAGAGGACCAATTCCTTCATCCACCAACCAGGAGTAGAAAGCACCCTTTAGAGAACCATTTGCAGGATGGCTAAGGGTGTCAATTCTCATTCTGAGTAATGAAAGCAAGTGAGATGCAATTTGCAATCTATGTTGCAAGTCAGTTGTGAAAAGAGGGGTAAATCTTTGCCCATTTCCATTTCTAGAATCTCAGAGCCGGTGTCCTTTTAAAACTACAAATAATTAAGCCACAGGTAACAATTTTGCTTACCCAATGGGAAAATAAAAAGGCTTTAGCTTTTCTAGAGCCACGTTCACCCTTGATCCTGGCATAAACTCCACCAATTAACTTCTCAGCATTACCGCACTATTCAACAACTTGGCATTAAGCAAAAAATAAATCTTGAGGCCAAAGTTTTAGTATCCACAAAAGACCCAAAATCACTGCTCTTCATTTCTATTTCAAAGTAATTGGCAACCTTGCTGCATTGCACCCACTTAAACATTATCATTTGCAAAAACTCCAGCAATAGTTAGGTAAACCTTGACCACCAACTATCCTCTCGCACACACAAGTCGAAACATACCAGCAGAGACGACACACTTTTATTTGTTCAGCAATCAAAACAATATTCTTGTTTTCTGGCTGCTCTTATTCCCAGTAATCTTTCACTAGCCTCTATGGAGCACTCACTTTTTTTCCTGATCATCCGCGTCATGTGAGTTTTGCAGAGCATCTGTCCGTCGTCTTCCTCGGATGCTGCAGCCTGAAGAAGCTTGAGGAGGCCTGAATTCTTTAAACAGGGTGGAAGAGGAAGGATAAACGGGAGGATTTGCTCTTATTAAAAAGATTACTGAATCCCATTGATGTTTGCATATGTCACCCAACCATACCGTCTTGAGATTAAATTGAAACTTGTCCCATCTTTAAATGTGCTGTATTAATGCTGAAGAGGAAAAGACTGCACCAAGTGGACAAAGGCCAAATTTGCAGGCAAGAAGCCCTGGATTCGGTGCTTGGCGTCTCTAAGCAGACCTGGTTTATGGGATGAACTGGTGGTTCCTGATTGGACCATAATGGATTGACTTTGTGGGACATATTTATCAACTGTGGTTTAAAAAAAAATCAGCATGAGGGATCGTAAAACAAAGGTATGAGTTGAGCATAAAGAGCAACCCAGTATATCCTAAACAACCCTGAAACAATGGCCTGATTTGAACTAGGACATTTTTGTCTTCACAGATAGTCCTCACTTAAGGATCATACAAGGGATTGGCATTTTCATTAAGCAATGAGGTTGTAGAGCATTATGTCCAATGTGCAGCTGCTTAGCAACAGCAATTCTGGTAGTTCTGGTTACCATTCTTAAATAAATCGCTGCAAGTTGTTAAGCGAGGACTTCTTGTGACTTCTATTTCCTGCTGGTTTCCCCACTAACCTGGCTCATGGGAAGCCAGCAGGAAGGACTGCAAATCGCAATTACATGACTGGACACTGATGGCCAGAAATCCAGGTCAGTTGCTGAACACCCTGATCATGATCACATGATCACGAGGGTGCCACAAGAGAAGAAGTTATTCAGCGCCATCATAAGTTTGAACAGCATTAAGCAGAACCATCTGTATAGGGTCAACTCATGCCTTTTGCTATAGGACAGGTCAAGGCTGAGAAACCTTGAAGCCCTATGAAGATTTAAGTATTTCTTGGCAGAGATGATGATTCTGAGACTTCACGCGCCACTTACAGGTTCAGCATAGTCAAGAGGGGTGCATTGCTTGTTGTTCCTAAGGTGCACCAATGCGCCGTTCTGCAGCAGCACCTGAACCACAGCTTCGTAATTTCCTATTACTGCTTTGTGAAGAGGTGTGTTTCCTTGGTTATTGGGAAGGTTAACTGAGGCTCCATGCTGGGAAAGCGAAAACAGGAGAGAAGAAAAAGAAATTTCTTTTACAAGCTGTGCCTGCACATTTCAAAGCCTGCATATTTCAGTTGATTCATTCATGGGCAATACAGTTTAATCTGTGAGGGTCCTGCAAAAAATAATTCAAAGAAAATAATATACATAAAACTTCCTTGGTGTTCAAGAGTACTAAGCGTTACGTTCCCGCTCTTCTGAGAATACCACCTAAAAAGTTTCTGTAGCAGTTCTTTACTGAAGTCTGAAGAAAAGGCTTTTTCCTACATGTGCTGATTTTATCTTTTCAACTGGAAATGCAGAAAATGATCTTTTTCTGCAAGGTTACCATGCAATTGAGTTCCACCTTAAATCCCTTATTTTCACACATTTCTTCCCCCGGATTTAAGAGATGATAGGCACACTTCTGTGCCTTCTCTCCAACAGAATCATAAATTTTTCAAAGTGAAAAAAACAGCTAGTTTGTTTAAACAGACCCCAAATTTCTGTAACTTCCAAATGGGAGAAGCAAGCTTCGGTAAAAATGAAAACTAATATTTTCAATCTCAATCCTTGAGATCATGAAAAAGGAAGAATTGGTTCATGACTACTAAGGCAAAAAGAATAGAAAAACAGGTGAAAAAACAGTAATAATGATCTTCTCACCTGTAATAAAATGGCTGCTATCTCCTGATAGCCGTTCAAGCAAGCATACATTAAGGGGGTATTTCCATAAATGTCCTTTTTGTGTTGCTTAACACTGCACTTTATCAGATATTTCACCACCTGTTGAAAAAAGGGGGCATTGTAGCTATATAAACTTCACTTCCACACACACCGGGGCGGGGGGGGAATGTTGGAAATCATCTGCTTTATTGATTCTGATTTATGTGCCATCAAGTTGGTGTTGATTCCTCGTGGCCACACAGATAAGATTTTCTCCATGACAATCTGTGCCCAACCTGGGCTTTTGGTTCCTGCAATGGTGCCCCCATCACTGCAACTGAGTCTATTCATCCTTTTCTTTTTCCTTCCAACACTTTTCCAGAGAGTTAGATCTTTACATAATACGNAATTTGCTCTGGCAATTACTTATAAATGTAAAACTGATTTTATTTTCAGTTTTTGAAGAATTATAAAAATTAAACATGTTAATGTTAAAAAATAATATTATGGAATAATTAATGGAAAAATATCAAAATATTATATATAACTGCCATGCATTGGTTTATAAAATTAACAGATATTATAATTAGCATTTTAGCAGATGTTAACATTTTTGGAGCAATTTTTATTTTCTGCTGTGTAAAATTATTTCATTATTTACAGGGAAGCTGAAATGCGGAATAATATTTTGGCTCAGGTTTTGGATCAAGCAGCACGTGCCAGATGTAAGTATTTATTTAACATTGTTTGACTTGTTGTTTATGACCATTCAGTTTGAAGAAAGCAATTTTGGGTGGCATTTGTAAGAGCATTCAAACAAGGGACTAGAAATTAGAATACAATAAACCTCTTGAATGGAAGAGAAATCAACAGAGCAACGAGACTAACAAAATTCACAGGACAATCATACTTTCAGTCAAGATGGATTCATCCAATGTTCTAGCCCAATGCCCAAGGAAGAACCACGTTTTCAAGAAAGTCAGAAGAGTCTTGGCATAGACCTCTAGATTAAAGGAAGAGTGTCATGGGCTGTAATACTATCCATGCCTAAATGGCACTGGCATTGTATACATATTCAGAATTTCATTGATCAGCAGTCCTCCACTTCTCCACCAGTTTTGAATTGCTGGTGTCATTCATCCAAAAGCATTACAGCATGCTATATTTAGCATCCTTTACATATTCCCTGCAGGTATTTTATTTTGCCTTGATTGTGGCATCTGAACACTCTCAAAAGTTACTGGATCTCTACTTGAAAAAGTGGTGCATAAAGCAAAAATTGTACAGTTGTACTAAGATCATTTAGAATACAAACCATTCCTTGAACTTCTGTACTATATCCTCCAGTTGTTCATCTTTTACAACAGGTTTTATTTAAACACCACCTTGTATAAGGGTTACTCTTCTTAATTCAGGGTTAAGGTGAAACGTCTGGGATGGATGTAATAATCTTTCTGTTATTAAATATTAGAGTTGTGAGAGCCAGCATGGTGCTTAAAGTATTGGACTAGGACTGGAGAGATCAGATTCAAGTCATTAATCAGTCTTGGAAATTTATTTGGTGATTTGGGGTCTTTCCTCCACCCAGCCAAGGCTAGTTTTGTCCCTTGTAGTCTTGAGCTCTTGAGAGAGCAGCCCAGATATACCTCTAATAGATGGTCTTTAACTAGCCAAATATCTGTTTTCCTCTTGCAGTAAGCAATTTAGCACTTGTAAAGCCAGAAAAGGCAAAGGCGGTTGAAAATTACCTTATACAGATGGCAAGATTTGGACAGCTAGGTGGAAAAGTAAGTTTATTTCTTGTTTTTAGCCCCCTGTAATATTGCTCTCTAGTAGAGTATTCAGAGTTGTGGAGTTGAGGGCATTATCTGTTCCCAGAACACATTTGATTGGCTATTATTTGAAAAGGGAATAACAACCTGATTTTTTTTCCTATTTGGAATTTGGATGGTGTAACAGCCTGCCAAAAAAACTTCTAAAATGTTCACTGCAATTAGAATGGTCCTTTATCTCCCTCTCCCTGGGTAAAGTCCTCTCTGGTTTCACAGAGCAAGAAGCTGTTTTATATAAAGGAGGGTGTATAGGTGGACCCTTAAAGAACCATTTACTGCAAGGGAACTTCTGCTGGGGATGTTGCTAAGCAAGAGTGTTTCCTACCTTCTTTATAACTTGCTTCAGGAGGGAAAAAGCAGCCTGTCTCCTAAGCCCCCTGAACACTCTGGAGTATGAAGAGATTAGTGACTTGAACCATTAATATAGCTAGTAAAGCAAGCTGTTAGCTATTCATAATATTTTGACTGTTTCCCCACCTTTGCTTCTATTTGCTACTATGCTGTTGTATGTAGAGGACAAAGTCATAAGTATAGTTCAAACATTTGATTGTTGCTATTTGTATCTTAATAAATAAGGTACCAGTAATTCAAAATGAGAACCATAAACCCTGCATTTTTCAGCAAGAGCTCTGTGTGCCATATTACCAAGTCAGTATTCTTTCTATTCTTCTCCTGACTTCTTAGGTATCAGAACAAGGATTGATAGAAATACTTGAAAAAGTGAGTCAGCAAATGGACAAAAAAACAACAGTAAAGGTAAGAGATTTTTAAAACGAATTTAAAGTAATTAAATCTGGTTTGCAAGGAAGAAATGTAGAAGACACAGCATAGCTAGGTATTTGACGTAGCTCTTCAAGTAGAATAAAGCAAATTACATCACTGAAACTGGCAACAGATGGTTTATGGAAATGAAAGGCTTCCCGTTTATTCCGTAACTGCTCAGTACATTGCAGGTTTTTTTTCTTAACCTCTTAATGTTTTCCCTCTTTACTCTTCATCTTTGAACTACTCCCACTCTTTCAATATTCCACAAACTGACTGTTCTTTTAAGTTGAGCCCATTTGTATGTTTTGTTTTTGCTATTTGGTTCTTTGGATTTTGACCCTGGTCAGTTGTCTTTTTGCCTCTTTTGATATGCCTTGTTTTCTTTTAATTTTATCTGCAAACTGCCCAGATTTCTCCTTCTGCCTTTCCCCCACCCAACTTAGATGCTATGAAGGCTTTAAATTGATATGTTTTAAGAGTACGGTTTCACATTGCACATTCAAAATTATATAGGAAGACTCCAAGCAATCGTATGGGATTACGCATCAGTGGTAGAATTGCTGTACATGTGTCCCCCCACCCCCATAAATTGATATTGTTACTGTAAATCAACTATTGACAATTTAGCCTCAAAAGTATTTTAAGCCTGAGTTCACCTATATTCTATCATTCTTCTAGTTCAATAGAAGAAAAGTGTTGGATTCTGATGAGGAAGATTAATGAAATATGAAGACAGTTGCCAACTGCTAATCACCTGGAATAAGTCAAGGAAAGTATGTTCTATCATAGGCGAAAGTTTACAAAATGTTCTGTACACATTTTTATAAAAAGTAAAACTGATAAGCTTGCCTTCTGTACAATTAAGTGAAATGGTTTTGTTAGATAAGTTTTATATAATGAGCTTGAGAAATAAGGATTCATTCTCTAAGGTTTCAGCTTTCCTTTGACACTATTTACTGTGCAACTGGCAGATGTGAAAATATACTTGCCTCTCCTAGAGGTGCTTCATGTGCTCATGGGAAATGAAATTCTACCTTGCCAAGAAATACCAATTTTAAGTCTGCAGGCTAAATTACATATTGGAAAGAGAATTTTGTATTTATATTTTAAGGGGGGGGGGATAGATTAGACCCACACAATCTTCATTTCTTAACCATGAATAAAAAATTGAGGAGCAGCCAACAAATTTATTCTTTCCCCCAAGTAGAAATTCCCACCTCATTTTCAATTAACTATGATTAATGCCAAACAGGTTTCCCCAATAGCTGTGTTTTTGAAACTGGCTTTGAAGCCTGTTTAGCATTACCATGGTTTCAGAGGATCAGAAATACTATGTGTACATTACATGTCAGAAAACTTCCTGAAGTTTTGCTAATCTTGGTTTGGAACCAAGCAAGATACAGTTAAAAAAAAAATATGGCTGCATAATGTATTGTTGATTGATTTGCTGTATTGCAAATTCAGGATGTTTTGCTTAGAACATCATGAAATTTAAAGTCTGCTTGGGAAAAGAAAACTTCAGCATGTTGTTTTTATACAGAAACAGATTAATAAGTGCTTCAAATTTGAACATAATTTAGCCAACATTAATTTTAAAAAGGATATTTTGCTGAAATCAATTAAAGGCTGATTTCTGTATTTTGTCTTGGTGTAATCCATCATCACATAAACACATTCATAGCTACTGAAACTTCCCATTTTCAGAGTTGTCAAGCTGCTCAAAGACCATCTTTCATGCATGATGCCACTGTAAACAATGTTGTGCGTTTTTGTTACTGAGCATAAGTGTTCAATCCATGCATACAATCTACCCTATGTAAGTCAGAGTGTTAAAAGACAAGTTCCTTTTCTGGCTTGTATGGGCTCTGAAATGTATTAAAACCTTTCCATTAAGCAAAGTTAGCCATGACCAATTCTTGTCTATTCCTATTCCACAAAGAATTTTTCTTAATACACATTTTGTACATCATTGGAAGCCCTCTATCTCTCTGGGATCGTGTCTATAAATATGCAAAGTTCTCCATATAGTTTTAAGGGCCAGAGGAAGCTGTGTTCATAGATTGTGTTGAGACAATTTGATTAGAATGTTGAACAAGCGTTATAGTTGAGTTTACATAACACATTAAACTAAACACAAGCATAACCAAGCAGGTGGAGATTTTATCCTATGTTCATATCATGTTGCCCGTCAAGAAATGCCTTGTGTTCCAAATACACAAGCATCAACAACATTCTGAACATTTTAGAAACTGCTTTGACGCACACAGATTGGCTTACAAATCATAATTTTGAATTAAAGAGTCAAACATTAAGAACACAGAACTGTTAATTTTACTACTTTAGTTTACAATATTTGGCACAAGTCCAAGGCACATATGAAGATTAGGTGAATTACTTGGTAGAAAAATAAAAACTTTTTCAGCAGCAAGCTAAAGCTCAGTTTTTAAACCGTATATTAATGTACAGAGAAATTTTTAAGACAACCTTACTACCTAAAACAAGTTATTAAGACATATTAAACCAATTTAAAAAGCACACCATTTTGTATACAAACATTATATAAACACAAAATATGAAATGAAATTATTGCGCTATTCACCATAATTGAATGTTCACCTAAAGTTGACATTCCATTTCTAAAAGTGCACAACAGACTAGCTGGAAGTGCCTTTGAAAGTAAGGGCAATGAAGCTGCTTTTCAAAAATTGCAACTTATTATCAGATGTGCTCTGCTTAACTAGGCTCATCTTAAGTAGGCCCGTTTTCTGTGCCACAAATACGTAATTTTAAATAGCAAATGCGGTTGGGCTGCTCAGTTATGTAGGCATTTCATATAATACGAACATGTTCTGAGTAGAAGTTTCAACTCTGCTCACAGAGGAAATTCTTTTTTTAATTAGGTGTCTAGTCTCTTCAGCAAGATATAATGTACCTTTTACTCTTAATTTCCCGTTGCAATCAATTCAGTGAGCACTAAACGAGCTACACAATTTTGCCTCTCTTAACTTTTAAACACACCTCATACTGAATACTGTAAGCATTCCATCAATCAGCAGTTCAACTAAAACCCACTGCTTTTTCAGAATAAAAATAGAACAGTCCTTCAAAATGCCATAAAAAGTTTTGCTCTCACATATCTATTATTACTAAAATTGATTAGAGAGTGCAATACTATAGAATATAAATTCTGACATCTCAATACATTTCTAGTTTTTTTTTTAAATATAGATCTACTATACGATATTTTAATGATTCATTCCAAAATAAACAGGAGTGTCCATCTCCAGAAGTGCAAACTCCATGCCAAGTCAGAGGGGGAAGCTTCTCTTCCTGCTGAACGTCCAATGTAATTTTGAAAACCTTGATCTCAAGAAGCCTCTTCAATGCTGAATGGGAAAACCGCTCTGCCTGAATCGTGTCGTGTTCCTTGTGTAAGGCACCCAGATTTCCTTATTCAACTTGTTTTAGAGCATCAATCCTCCGGACAGCTGTCAGTGGAAGCAGCACTTGCATCTCTGGGCAAACTGTAGAAGTCACTGCTATCTGCTGTTGAAAGTGCCACACTAATAGTGTGACTCCGATGTACTTCCCTCTTTCTCAAAGGTGTTACCTCTGCATCGCCTTCAGCTGTTACAGGTCCATCACAGCTATTGGCATCAAGATTATGAGTCTGGATTTTCTCTAACACATCCACGGGATTCTGCTTGTTATTAAAGTTCTTGATAGCTAGCTTAAAGAAGAAAGGGAGGGAAGGATGGCAGGGTTTATCTTGTTGAAATGCAAAGAATTCCATCTAAAAAAAACACCCAGCCATTCTGTCTATTCCATGTCCTCCAAAACAGCATTCATTTTGTTATTGTTTTATAGCTTTCCAACCTACCTCTCCTCTCCAAAGAGATTTTGTTTCAAATTGCTATTGTTTCTTACTGCTAAAAATCTTGTTGCATTTTGTTGCAAGCTTGAAATAATTGCATTCCCCAAACAGAGATACGTTTAGAATCCCTGGTTGGAGAATATTGAAATGCCTTGATAAGATTTTGCAAGGCTGAAATTAAAATTGTATGTTGAAAGAGAATTAAATCTTCACTGCTAGTGCTAGCCACCGTTCATCCCCCCCCCTTTTTTTTCCTGCAGCAAAGAGAACATTGGCAAATCTTACTCTAGGTCTTGGCAGTCAGATAGGTTTCTGCCGTAGTTATACAACCATCCTTTCCCTTTCTATTTTTCCCTCTTCTACCCCAAATGTTCATGTTTTTGTTCTATAAAAAAGAGCTAAGTTCATGCAGAGTTCATTTGTGTTTTAAAAAACAAACAGAACTGCGGTGGTATGAAGCTAATACTGTATACTTACCTGGTGCAATAATTCTTCATCAAAGTTAGGCACGCTTTTATCTTTCGTTATGGCTTTGCGCAAGTTTCTTGATCTAAGAGAACACAAGATGAAAAGTAAGTTACTCCATGCTTCAGTCTATGTCACTAGGAGGTTCCTCAGGCCAGCCGCCAGATGGCACTATTTCAACTGAAAGAGGACCAGTCTGCTTTCACTTCTAATGCTCGAGTTTTCTTGAAAATAAATGCCAGGACATTTCCTTTGAAGTTAGTAAATTTACAGCTCTGAAACCAAGCCATTTAAAGGTATTCTCAGGACTATAAACCATTACTCCAATCATCTAAATTAGAGATAGCTAACTTGCATTCTTACATGTAAGAGGCGTTTCCGGGATGCATTTTATAGGCAATTAATTTTAATGTTATTGATTTATATATATATTTGTCTTTGCCCTTTTGGCACGTGGTTTCTGATGGGTGTGTGTGTGTGTGTGTGTGTGTGTGTGTGTGTGTATGATTTATAATGTGTCTGGTTTGGATGGATCATCTCAAATTCAAGATTCCTTTTGAGTTCAGTAATCTTGAAATGCATAGACAATCGGGCATAGAGTCTTAAACCAGTCCTATTTTTAGAACAGCTAATACAAAACATTAATAATATCAATTACAGATACTCCTCGGCTTACAACCATTCATTTAGCAACTGAAATTATGGCGGTGCTGGGGGGGGAAGGTGACTTATGACCAGTTTTAACACATATGGCTGTTGCAGCATTCCTGTGGTCACATGATCAAAATTTGAACACTTGGTTAGCATGTA